GCAATCAGGTTGGTCTGACATGATCTCCCCCTAATAAATCCATGCTGATTGCCCCTGAGCATCATTTCTGATGCCAGCCCATCACAAATGTGCTCCTTGATGATCTTCTCAAAGAGTTTCCCCAGGATTGAGGTAAGACTGACAGGCCTATAGTTGCCCGGGTCCTCCCTCTTCCCCTTCTTGAAGATGGGGACCACATTTGCTACCTTCCAAGGTCCTAAGACTGTAAGCTGTTGCAGATACAGGCTGCCCCTTTATTCTGTATTTATTCTTATTTGACACAGTGTGGCTTTGAAATATCACTACAGTACAAATAAAGAGCAATAGTAGTGTATGTAATTTGTATGTGCTCTCTCATCTGCACTTAGCAGGAAACTAAAACCTCTCTGGTAATAAGTAGACATTACTGTTATTATGCAAGCCACCTTTATCTCCAGGCTAGATTACTGCATCATTCTTCACAAGGGTATATGTCTTAAAGGTCATCATCACCTAGTATAACAGATGATATCACTATCTCTTCATAGCATTCAATGTCTCTTGTCTCAAAGCACTTTTTGAAGGAGGAGAAAGCAGGCTGGCAGGGATGGCAGGATGACGTAAAACAGTGATCCATTAGCAAGCATTTGTCCATTTGAAGACAAAGGGCCACCCAATTCTAAATATCAGTTATGCCTTATCTTCATTATGCTTGTAGCTAAAAGATAATGAAAGTCTGTTCCCAAAAGAGTGGAGTGCTTTCAATGTTGGTTGGAGGGTCGGGTTCATCACTAGTTGATTGTCCAGCAAGGAAACAAATGATTTTGAGGTTAATAAACTAGTCTGGTAGTCAAGAGAGCTGGAGACAAAACCTCTGCTCTACCACAATATTTCTGTGCATTACCCTAAGCTAGTCCCTTGATCTGTCTGTGCCTCCATTCCCACCTGTGAATAGGAATAATTACAGTTCCTCGCTTCAACTTTGTCTGGCTAGACTTCAGTTCTTTAGGGGGTCCATTCAGCACCTATGGCCATGGGGTCCTAAACTGTGCTGCTGTCTGTGGGTACTACTAATAATACAAGATAAGGAAGTATTGCTAGTACTTACCTATCAAAAGCTTTTCCGCAGACAACTGGAGAGCCTCTGGTACATCTAGAGAAGTCAGAATAGTGAAGTCGGCCCAATTCCACACAGAACTGACTGGCTTTCAGAAAAGTCAAGTCAGGATCCTGCATTCATATCCGGTTAGTCTGGCAATATTAAACAAAAAAAGTTTTCAGGTTTGGAAAGTTAATGGAAAAAGGCAAAAGGCTTTACCTTCAACTGAAAGGCATGCAAGGATGGAGCGGGGGGGGGCACAAAAAATGCCCAAATATATATAGTTTAGGGGAAAAGGGCAGTTGAGCAGGGATTTACAATGGTTTAGATAATGTCAAGTGAAGTTTCTGTAAGTCTCAGCCCAAGTGCAGATGATGAAGCAAAAGACTAAATGTAGAAATTAAAGAAATACCCATTCAAAGCCAAACTGAGAAACCTTTTGTCACACACAGAATCATAAGTGCGTGAGAAGTCCCAGCAGGAGTGGTTCTCAAGGCAAAATAACACTGGGGGCATTCAGGAAATAATTAGCTGGTTTCCTGGGGGGAGCAAGTTTGTGTGTGTGAGAAGAGGAGAAATGGTGGGTGCAGGGAAGGGCTGGAGAGAGGTAAGATGCTGATAAAGAGAACAACTGCGATGGGATTGAGGGGTCTTTAACTAGTTCCACCAAAAAAGGGAAAATGAAAAAGGCAGAAGGAGGGTCATTAGGTTCAATTTAATTAGCTCTTCTGGAGTGACAGTCTTGTGGATTGAAGTTCCTAGCTTGGCATGAGGCACACTTTCCCCTGCTGACAGAGCTGTCTCCACAGGCCACTTCAGGACCACGGGCTCCACAGATTAGCTCAGAACAAAGGGGTTCATGAGTTGCTTCTGATCTGTGCACCCTGCGCACACATCTTGATGTTTGCCTCAGCTGCAAGATTCACTGTGGTTGCCTCTGTCAGACTTATCGCAGCTGGATTTCTATCATTTGCCACAGGTAGATCACTGCTGTTTATCCCAGCTGCATCTGCCAGACTTGCTATTGCTAAACCCATGCGACTTGCTGCAGCTTGGACCTCAGTATCCCAACCCAGTCCAACAGATTCCCTATTGCAGGGGCAATGCGATTCCTACACCTAACACCCCAAAGCCATATGTACCTTTTCTTAAAACCAGGCCTGTGTATCATCAGTCAAAACCAAATACATTCTCCTTCCCCACTCAGAAGTACATATGGCACTATCACCCCAAGTCTAGCCCCAAAAAGTCATGCAAAGCTGAGGAAAACCAGATGGGCTTTGCACTGTACCCAGAAGGTCAGAAGCATTGGGCTCTGCCAAACCACACTGGGCATGTCTACACAAGATGTTAATGCAACCCAATAAATTCTGGTGTGGTTTGCACCAGAGTTTATTGCTCCTAAGCCTGGCATTTACACATGCACCCAGGGACTGCAGCACATTGAGCCAGGTCAAAGCAGCCTTGGCTAGCAGGGAGTCCAGGGTGTCAACACTAAAGCACCCTCG